TATCATATTCTCAAGACTTGGTAATATTTTGTACCACCTAAAATCTAACAATACTTAGCAGCTTGCAAATTATACAATTTAATAGCAATTAAAACACCTAAAACACTGTTTTAAGATGTTGTTTCAACATCACTTTGAAACAACATCCTAAAAACCCAATGAAGACAGTATTTTTTTCAAAGTGGTACAGTGCTTAAATTAAGGTACTTCAGATGCCCATGTTTATAGTTTTACAAAATTGCTGTGGAGGACTAGCTGACTCTCCTGCACTGACAACAGAGGTGATTGGAATATATCTCCTCTCCCTCCCATCTCTGGTAGGCAGGGATGATGACAGTTGCAGTCCAGCATATTCAGGAGACATCAAAGGCATAGAGAGTGGTTTAGGAAGAGAAGAAGCTGTCTCATTTCACTCAGACTAGGTGCTTATCTCCTCCAACAATGTTTCCTCTAGTGCAGTGGTTCTCAACCTTTTTAATGCCGCGACCCCCAACCGGTCGTAAGTCGAGGACTAAACCGGTCGTAAGTCGAGGACTAAACCGGTCATAAGTCGAGGACTACCCAACCGGTCGTAGGTCGAGGACTTTCCCTGCCCGGGAGCACCGCGCATGCGTGGTTCCGCCCCCTGCGCCGGCCGAGGCGTAGCTGGCAAGCAGCAGAGACGGAGCAGGCCGACCACCAGCTGGCCCAGCCCAAGGGAGGTAAGGCACCCGCCAGAAAAGGGGGGGGAAAAATGGACAAAAAAAATGGCGGACAGCCTTGCTTGGCGACCCCTGTGAAATGGTCAATCGACCCCAAATGGGGTCGCGACCCATAGGTTGAGAACCGCTGCTCTAGTGCTTATCCTTTTTTTCTCGCCTCCCTTTAACTGGAGTTTAATTGGAACTGAATCAAGAAATGTATTTGTACCACACCTGAATAACATTTCCTAGAAGCTTCTCATGCATGCTCTAATAAAAGTTTTACGAAGACCTGCACAGAACTCTCCTTAAAATTATACTTGAACAGCAAGAAACCATATACGGTAATCAAAACTTGTTTCAGAGGAAAAAGGAAGTTTTAGTTTAAAATATTCCAAAGTAGTGAGTAAAATAAAAGTAAAACCTACATAAGCTACTAAGTGTGATGATGCAACAAGGCCTTGATTTAAGTGCAGGTAGTCCTCAACTTATGACCATTTGTTTAATGACAGTTTGAAGTTATGACAGCACTGAAAAAAGTGACTTATGACTGGTTGTTATGGTCATTTCAGCATCCCGGTGGTCACACAATCAAAATTTGGGTGCTTGGCAACTGGCATGTATTTATGACAGTTGCAGTGTCTCAGGGTAATATGATTGACATTTGCATATCTTCCCTGGATTCTTCCAACAAACAAAGTCAATGAGGGAAAGTCAGATTTGTTTAACGGCCATATGATTCAATTAACAACTTCAGTGATTTGCTTAACAACCATGGGAAAAAGTTCATAAAATCAGCACAACTCACTTAACAAGCACCTTGCTTAGCAACAGATATTCTGATCCCAATTGTGGTCCCAAGTCAAGGACCATCTGTAATACAGATGGTCTCTTTGGGTCATATTGCTAGAAAGTTGTCTGAATGTATAGCACCATCAGACCTTGTCAATGTGGGGACCAATGGCATTTTTCCAGAGAGGAGGAGAGTCCCTCATCGGTATGCCATTACCAAGAAGTTCCCATCTCAAGCGATCATCAAATGCAGCAGGGAACACACCCTGGTTGCGATTAGGAGAAATCTCTTTTAAGGACACAATGCAGGAAACAAATATTTGGAGGCAGATAACAGATCCTAGATAAAGTGAACAATTCAAGATCAAATATTTTCTTGTTCTGCTGAATACAGTCACCCAGTTCACGGTTTGTTCAATTATCTAGTTCAGGGGTAGGCAACCATGGCTCTTTTATGACTCGTGGACTTCAACTCCCAGAATTCCTGAGCCAGCACAAGTCATAAAAGAGCCAAGGTTGCCTACCCCTGATCTAGTTTTAGCCAAATAAGATGCAGAGGTACAAGATCCTGCAAAGCTATTGACAGGGAATAATAAAAGGCACAAGAGAGAAATACCACAATTTATACCAGTGAACTAACTGTAAGTTATCTTCTTATGACTCTCCTCCCCCCAATTTCCTGAGGTATAAGAAGGAAGGAAAGAAAACATTGTCAGGTTTTTGATGTTTCTATTATTATAGCTGATATCAAAATTACAGAGTCTGCTTCCTGACCTAGCCCACCTCTAGTATAAGATAGCTAGTTATAATCTTAATAACCTTATGGTTTAAAAATAAAAACCCTGTTTATAGGAGAGATATTTAGTTCAAGAGAACTCCATGCCATAAAAAGATCCTATTAGCAACAGATTAATTGTGAAACAAATTCAAGTACTAATTGTATATTTGTTTGTTTGTTTTTTATGTTATGTAGTTACTTCAGAATACTCAACTCAGGCTAGAGTAGGGCATTAAATAAATACAAGTTCTTTGTGCAGAGTTAGCACAACTTTTATAGCTTTTTTTCCTTATAAATTCCAGACAAATTCAACGCCTTTGTTTCTGCTCAATACCAATGTCTACAAAAATGTTTACATTTCATTTAAGCAGCTTTTGTAACCTTGCACCACACCCCAGCAACTACATAAAAATTCAATTTGCTGCAAAAGCCGATCACACACCTGTTCAGTCATGTGTGAACACTGCCTTTTTAAAAGACGTCATGGTATATTAGGCAAAACATTTTATTTTAATTGTGTTTTAAAGAAGTGCATTGTCAAGTATATATTTTGATGGTTGTGTTTATGTATAGTTTCCAGTTTTAATCCATATTTTTAAAATATCAATCATTAACAGAAAATGTATTGCTACAATTGTTGTATTAAGAAGATTATTCTAGGAAAATGAAATATACATTTCTTTCTCGCTGACATATACAGTTGAACTAGATTAGGAAAATCTACAGCACCTAAAGATCTGAAGGACAATTATGTTCTAGTGAACTAATCAGCTTCAGTATGCATTTAATCCGAATCTTACCATACAAAATTAATACAGGAACTCTAATTCAACAGTTACATGCTGGAGACATTTCCTGAAACTGACACAAGAACTACATTTTGGCTTAACAAAGTCCTGACATTTTGAAAATATCAGAAATATCACCCTTCCATAAGAATTTCCCAACAAGCCGAGCGTCTCTGAAAATGTATTGATTTGGATTATTTTTTCTTTTTTGTTTATGTACGTAAATACATCATAATCTTTGTTGTTTAATTATAAAAATCAATAAAAATTGTATTAAAAAAAAAGAATTTCCCAACAAGATTATATATGATGCATACTTCTCTGGTAACACCAGATGTTTACCTCCAGATATTAGAGGGCAGTTATATATACTAACTGTATGACAAGATGGCAAAAAAAAAATGTTGGTAGAAGGGAATGAGAAACAATGATCTTTTTTCTCTAACCAATTTCTCACCATCATCTTCTCATGAATTTATGGGAATTCTACTGTTCCGCTTTATTTATATTTTGTACTCAAGTGCAGATACACGCTTCTTATCAATTATGGAATGTATGCATTCATAATACGATGCACATATCCCACTAAAATAATCTAAAGCAGGCCTGAATAATTTCGACAACAGAAAGCTCATAAATTAGAAACTGCAATGATGGGCTGCAATGATGGTGGCACATCAGCCAGCTGTTTGGTGGCTAGTGGAGCTGTGGCAGTGCCGGAACTGACAGCAGCAGTGAGGCTTGGAGGTCTAGACTTAACCCCAACCCACAGGCCCTATATATTGAGCAGGCCTAATCTAAAGCAATCTTTTTGTGAGGGAATACAGTTTGGAATACAGTTTGAATAAAACTGAGTTACTGGGTATCAATGGAGTGGGTCAGGAAACAGTGTTTAAATCTGGAAAAAGTAAAAATAGTATTGTGATCAAAGTGACATGATTGCCATCTTGCAGATGACCTTCTCTCCTTGTAGATACCCCTGAAGCTAGCTGTTTATCTCCAGATGATGACAAAGTTGATTCAGGTAATAAAAAAAAATTCAGCAAGATTTGCTCTAAAATCATTACCTGGTCAAAAGGGATGGTTCTTTTTATTCCCCAGCTACACCTGTTAGTCCTGGAAAGTATTACTTCATGATGTGCCATTCCCTAAAGTTATCCTGATCTGCTGTTAAAACCCCACTTCAAGTAAGTCTTTCATCCTACTTCAAGTTCATTTCAAGTGCTGGAAAATAGGCCAATTGTGTGAATCGTTTATACAAATGGAGTACATACAGTAAGTGGAGATTATTTCTCTATGGGAAAGACAAATACCTATGCAGCTTGAAATGAGGCATATACCAACTTTATTCTTTGCATCTAGAAAGTCCAACGTTCATCTTGGGAGACTCCGTGTAACATTAGAGAAGGGAATTCACTGAAACTATTGGAGCACCAAGGCTTTTCCACACACACACACACATCTTGTTAAGCCATAATATTTGCTTTTAAGTTAGCGTGATGCTTGAACCAGTTTTAGTTTTAGGCATGAATGGAACTATTACTCTTTAATCAACCAGTAATTCCTAAAACCCTGACATCATATTTATCTATAGATAATGTAGACAATTTCAAGCTAAATGGCCCGATGTTCCTAATAAAAGAAGATACAGTACCTCGTACAAACTTTCAAAACGGCTTCCCTGATATCTGGTACTTAAACAAGATTAATATAAAAGTTCCCAAAGATTGGCAATGTTAGACTAGCAAGATCTAAATAACAAAATATCCATTATTAAAATATCTGCATTTTTATGGATATAAATGTATATCCTGTCTTTTACTCAAGAGCTTATGGTGGGGCACAGTTGGTTTGGTTTTATTTTTTTCCCCCACAACAGTACAAAATAATGCCTTACGTTTTGCTTGCTGAGCAATTCTGCATGTTACCCTACAAAAGATATGCATTTTTGGCAGATCTTACCTTTGCCTCTTCATTAACATCCCAAGTGAATGATACAGCATTATAGGCAATTTCTTCAATATTTCCAATGGTGTTGAAACTTTCCTTATAATCAGCTGCAACAAACAACAAAAAGATCACAGGTGCTTTTATAAAATACAGATATTTCTCCTTGCATTCCAAGATAGATAGATAGATAGATAGATAGATAGATAGATAGATAGATAGATAGATAGATAGATAGATAGATAGATAGATAGATAGATAGATAGATAGATAGATAGATAGATAGAAAGAAAGAAAGCTAGGAGCATGTTTTGCAGGCAGACCTCACATACTGTGAACACTATAAATTCAAAATTTATTTTTGTCAGCCACAACATTTTGAATAGATAGATATATATGATTTGCAATTTAATTCTACAGTTCTGGCTCAATTTGCCAATAGCAACATTTTCTAAATGATGCTACAACTATTTTTCGAAGTTGGTAATAAGATATTTGAAAGATTACAGTAATCAGGTTCCCACTTTTTAGCCTAATAATGCCAGTCTGATATTAATTTTGGTTGATTGCATTATATTAGCCAATATTTTATTGGGGAAGTTAATTATAGAACAATAATTGGAGGGGGCTTGTACTGGGAAATAGTATGAAGAATTCAACCATTAAAAAAGCCCCCCCCCACCCCCCAAAAAAAAGTTAGCATTTTTTTTCTGAACTGGCACTAATCAACTGTAGATGTCAACTAAATTTAGCTTTAAATGGTTTTTGCAAATCTCACTGAAAAAATGCAACAAGAGATGCCAGCTGTCCTTTCTCTTTGCACTTATGTTCTACAAACATTTACTATTGATGAATAAGTAGGATAAAATTTTCTGCGTATTGTCCAGGAGTAGAAGAGAGAGAACATAAAAAAACATAGCATGAGTAAAAGAAGCAGAAGAGGCACCACCTGGAGTAGGAGACCCTGGCAAAAATAACACATGCCCTCATCACCATTAAATTGGACTACTACAGTGCTCTATTGTGTTGCCTTCGAAGTTTGTAGTTTGTGCATTATGCAGCAGCCTAGATATTAATGTGTGATAACAGCTACAGCCATATAAGACCTTTACTATAGGCACTCAGTAGCTCTCAGTAGTTTCTCTGACACCATTCAAAATATTGGTTTTAACCTATAAAGTACAACATGCCTTGGCTTCCAGTTAGCTCCAGATAGAATTGGACTATCCTGTGTGATGGTCCAGATTGGGGAGATGCAACAATTCCCTGCACAAAGAGACCATTTTTCCACAGTGGTCCCCACTTTGAAGAATAACCCCAAGTGGTAGAGCAGTTGTGGTTTGCAACACTGTAAAAAAGGACTTTGAGAGTCAATATTATTATGGTTAAGTTGGAGTGGTACTTGTGTTCTTTTCTTTTTCTTTTTAGTTCTATTATTGTTATGCTTTTATTGTTTTTACAGTTTTATTGTTGCATATTCTGGGACTACTGTACATTTATGGTTTATTTATATTGCCAACCATCAGGAATCACTCCCAATGCAATGGCTTATAACAAATAAATAAATTGTTCATGAGTTGAAGAAGGAAGTAGACCTCATTCACACCTGGGCAGCTTTCCAAAATACAGTTTTGTGCCAATCTAGTTTGGCTGGAAGGGAAAAAAGAACATGAACGTTCTATACGACACATTCTTGATCTCTTAATCATAGTCTAGAGATTGCTGGTTTATTATCTAACTTGGGATTGCAATGCATTCTATTCCCTAAGATTCCTTTACATTCATCAAAATAAATTTATAGAAATTTCAAGATTTTAAATAGTGATATAAATGAACCGAAGTAGAACCTTTAAGGTATTTCTTTAAAAATTCTAAGGATTCATTTTCAAAACAAATTAATAGGTAATATAAACCCAGAAATCAACTTCTTGGAATAAAAGAAACTAATTTAACTTTATAGAAAAGACATGCCATAAGCCAAATGTACATTTCTATAATGAACTTGTGAAAAACCTATGCCCACTCTCTTGTCCCTTCTTCATTTTCTGTAAAAAAATGAAACACATACATTCTATTCAGGAGAAGATTAAAAGATTAATATTCCCCATAGTATTTACATGATAGAAATCTCTGACTGACTAAAAAGAAAGAATTTAGGGTAGACTCTTTTGAAAGGCTGGGATGCTGTCTGGGCAAGTGAAACTATCTGCTTGGAATGTCGAACACACCGGAGGGCACAGGGATATGTGGAATTTTCAAATAGATCTGGTTTTCTTTGAGAAGAAGGTTCCCAGATGTCCATGTATCGGATTTTTAATCTATCTAGTAAAAAGGGGGGGGCATCCTTCACAGCACAGAATTGTATTATAAAGCTAAGCTACTACTGCAGGACAATAATAATCCTAAACTACAAATGCATTTGCTGATATTAATCTACTAGATCCGAACCCCTCTTTAGGATCCTGAGACAACATGCAACTTAAGAGTAAACTAAATATGTTCGTCGCATATTGATGCAAACATGTGGTCTAAACATATTCCTTGCAAGATTCTGTGTGAGAATTCTTTTTTTAAAAAATGGCTGGGAAACAAGAGATAGTAAACTTCTCCTTCATCTCTTGGCATGAAACCTGCTTGGCACAAGCGCCCGTATGACAGCTCTCTGAGAAGAAAGATGAGGCCCTTTGCTCGGGAATTTGCAGACTAAAACCATGAAGGTTTCCTGTTAGAAAAACTTCTTTTTTTTAAAGGCAATTTATCCCAGATATTGTTCCTTAACAATTGCTCAATATTCATAATATGCTGATGCAGGTCACTTTTCAGGTTTGACCAGTAGTTAAAATATATAATTGGTAACTGAACTGATTTTTTATCTGATAATGCTGTAAGAAACTTTGATATTAATACTTAGTGTTTAGATGCATTTTTCTTTTTACTTGCTTACCATTTTCTTTATTTCAGAAAATAAATCTCTATATCTTTTCAAAGACCGCAAAAGAAGTTTTGAAAGCTACTTGGGAAATGGATAAATGATTGGCAATGCAATCCCCATCCTCCTGTTTACTCCTAAAATCACAGCTCAACAATGGCCATCACTCCTAGGTAACATATTTCTAGAAAGGTAGCTAAAGAGATTTTATCTTTATATTGTGAACGTGCGCCAAACATAGAGACTAAGTGTTTGAATATCTTCTCCTTATATATTTTACTAAGATTCTTACCCTATAATTCTTGTACAAATATCAAGCAATTATTGCAAGACAAACCCAAAGTAGAGAAGATTTGGGGGAAGGGAGAGATATGGTAACAATCTTCAAATAGCTTTCAAGCAGAACTCTTTAACACAGAAATAGAATCAGCTGGTATAAAATGACAGAGAAGTTAGGAGAAAATTACTAAAAACAAGAGCTGATGACGAAAAGAACAAGGTGCCCTTGAAATGGTGGCTTCTCTCTTGTTGGAAGTATTTAAGCAATGGCTTTGTCATAGATACTGTACAGGTAGTCCTTGACTTACAACAGTTCATTTCAGGGCTTTTTTTCTCATAGAATGCCCAGAACGGAGTTCCGGCACCTTTTTTGGATGGAACCTTGTAGGGTAGGCAAGGCGGGTTGTATGACGTGTGTGAGTTCTGGCACTTTTTTTTTTTTTTTTTTTAGAAAAAAAGCACTGGTTCATTTAATGAACATCAAAGTTACAACGTCACTGAAGAAAGTGACTTATGACCCTTTTTTACACTTACAACTGCTACATTATCCTCATGATCGTGTGATCAAAAATTCAGATGCTTAGCGACTGACTCATATTTTTGAGGGTTACAGTGTCCCAGGGTCATGAGATCACCTTTTGCAACCTTCTGACAAACAAAGTCAATGGGGAAGCCAGATTCACTTAACAACTGTGTTATTAATTTAACAAGTGCAGCGATTCACCTAATAACTGTGGCAAGAAAGGCTGTAAAACGTGGCAAAACTCACTTAACCAATGTCTCACTTAGGAACAGAAATTTTGGGCTCAATTTTGGTCATACGTTGAGGGGTACCTGAGCTCACATTCTATATATAGATTATACATATACATGATAGCAGTGTTCCAATATCTCTGGGGCTGCCACAAAAAAGAGGGAGTCAAGCTATTTTCCAAAGCGCCTGAAGGCAGGACAAGAAGCAACAGATGGAAACTGATCAAGGAGAGAAGCAACTTAGAACTAAGGAGAAACTTCCTGACAGTGAGAACAATTAACCAGTGGAACAACCTGCCTTCAGAAGCGGTGAATGCTCCAGCACTGGAAGTTTTTAAGAAGAGACTGGACAGCCATTTGTCCGAAATGGTATAGGGTTTCCTGCCTGCGCAGGGGGTTGGACTAGATGACCTCCAAGGTCCCTTCCAACTTTATTATTATTATTATTATTATTATTATTATTATTATTATTATTATTATTATTATTATTATTATTATTATTATTATTATTATTAATATTATACATTAAGCATGGGGTTGGACTGGATGAAGTTCAAAATTCCTATGATTCTAAACTAGGTAAAAACACAAAAGGAAGAATTTAAGCTAAGCAATGGAGAACTCTGAAGAGGGCTCCTATTTCATACTAAATACTGGAATATTACACAATTGAATAAATGGAACACAGAAGACTAACTAAGTAATCTTCTGTCTACTGTGTCCAATTAAGTTCAGCATAAATGAAAGTTAAAACATGACAAAAGGTTGGAAGAATCAAGGAAAGCTGATTACCTCTGAGAGAGAAAGAAAAACTAAGCAAAAGATCACATAACAACACTATCCAAGTAGCTAATATTAACATGTAATTTCTCATAAACTTCTTTAATAAGAAGTATGATTTGTGTGAGCTGCCAGGAAACTTGAACAACTATGGGAAATTTTATTTTAAAAGATAAAAGGAGTACAACCCTGCTCCCTTATGAAGTGTCTAAATTTGGCAGGAAAAAGGAATAAGGGCTGGTTGGCGCATGGATGCTAATACTCCTAACCTGGATTTCAGTACCAAGAAGACAGATGGCAGACCAAAGATCTTCACAAGATCAAAGTCTCTCACAAAAATGATGAAGGCAGTCTCGTGCTATTAGGCTGCAAACTCTACTGCTTTAGTACATTTATATCACATTGCAATGCAATTCCATCATTTATCACCACCACTAGCTCCTGAGCTGAATAGGTCAACATTTGACAAAAGCCTGAAAATTACTTAAATTTAGTTTACTTAATTTAATTATTTTAAAAGCCTTAATAAAGCTCTGTTTTTCAGTTGGTGGGCTGCAACCACTATATTGGGTAACCACATGAGATAAAATGATTTACGGATGGGCCTATACTACCAATCATTGTTAATCTTTTGTCAATTATTTTGAAAGATAGAGGAAGAAAAGGAAGAGTAAATAGGGAGATCAGGAGAAGGTGAGATTGGATAAGATGGCCATGTAAAGATATCCTTCCTTAGTTTAGACATCACCAAATGTCTTGAACAAGGACTCCCAGATTTACTAATGAGATACAGTCTAGTACATTGGGAAGATACCAGAAGTATTAAAAACTGATGTCAAATGCAGCATATCTCATGGCCAGTTGGAAAGATATATGGGAATATATGTGACTGGTTACCATGGCAATGAAAGGGAATGAGTTATCTCAGTTGGTGACAGAAATATGATGAGAGATTCTAGGAAACTGGAACCTGCAGTTTTGAAATAACTTTAAACACATGACTTGCTTATTCTGCTACTTTTACCCCAAGTTGTTTTTGTATTACTAGTTCACCTAAAATATTTAACACATAAAATAAATTCAGTTTGGGCTTTGAAGATGTAGTCTTTGCTTAGACTGAATGCTTATTTTCCCAGAAATATTATACTGTAGTTTTCAGGAGGTGAAAAGCAAGTTTCATACTGTAAGTTTGCACCAAGCATGAAAAATACATTAGTGCAGCCTTGTTACATACAAAACCAGACTTGGTTTGCCAATTGGCTATTCCAGAATAAAATTCTGGAGGTGAATTGGTTCTCTAGTTGCTCGTCTCCAAGGTCATAAAAAGCATCAGTGAAGACAGGAGCTCACAGGACTACTTCATCACTCACCAATGTCCAAGACCCTCTGTTTAGCTGTGTGCTGTCGTGAATGCCAATATTTCCAGTGCTTCAACTGCTCATCTCGATTTTTATCTTCACTGAATACAACCATGATCACACTCTAGAAAGATCACACAACAATCATCAATTGGTTATGGTCAGTAAAGCAAAATACTAAGCAATATAAATGTGTGTGTGTGTGTGTATGTGTATGTATGAATACATATATACATATGTAGGTCTTTAGTTATTCGGGTTTTCTCCCGTGTAGAATTAGAAGTGTCTTGGCGACATTTCGACGAAGTCACATTCGTCATCTTCAGGCTGGTGTCTTCAGCTTCGTGCTTCTGGGAGAAGCTTCAGCACGAAGCTGAAGACACCAGCCTGAAGATGACGAATGTGACTTCGTCGAAACGTCGCCAAGACACTTCTAATTCTACGCGGGAGAAAACCCGAATAACTAAAGACCTACATACAAACACCCGCGAAAACCTCAGAAAACAAATATATACATATATGTATATATACATACATTTTTATATATGTACACACACACACATACATACTGTATATATATATATGTATGGCATAACAGAATACAGCATTAACGCATAAAATGTACAAAACAACATATAAAAATGTCTATCAAAATATAAAACATCAGAGCAGTGAATTATTTTAAAAACACACAGCACGAATGATGAATAAAATTATGTATAAAACTGAATTATGTGTGAGCAGTCACTGGAGTGGCTAAGCCTATGGCCGGATATCTAGATCATTTAGGCACTGGACCTTCTGAAGAGGCATTCCATCGTAATATGATGTAAAGCTTATGGGCTGTTCCCACAATCACAGTCAGGATTATCAACCAGGTCCCATTTATATTTTCAATATTGGTACCTGCCATGGTTGGTTTGAATCCAGTTGATGCTCTCCTTTTAGATTCCATCAACCAGTCGTGCTTCCAATGCTTTTTCTTAATGTACCTTGTTTATCACAAGGCAACCAAGTTCCCAAGGGAAACAGAGGAAGAAACTCATAAAGCCTAACAACAATTAAGCAATCCTCAACTTACAGAAAATGATTGAAAAAGTCAATTAAGTCAGTTGAGCCCTATGGCCGCCTTACTGCAGATATCCACATTAAAGCATCCCCCAGGGCCTGCTTTTTAAGATCTGTTTGTACATGTCTAATGAAACAGAGCCCACCATCTTCCTTGGGGATAAATTCTCTTACTGTCTGAACGGATACCCTGGACAAAGAATTCTTTGCTGAATTACCAGCTATCCACAGTGGTAGCATTCTCAGCAGTGGAAGGTCTGACCACTCTTTGATTTCCCACAATGTCCTACAGCCATGTTTATATCAGGCACATAGTAACACTGAGATGGTGGTTAAATCGAATTGCCCTAGTATTTCTCTGTACAGTACAGCTAAAAAGAAAAAAACTGGGGAAAAATCCTAGCCCTGCCAGCAGAACAAAAATGCCAGCTTCACATGGCACTCAGTCAACCCAAATTAGAAACAAGTCTACCTACTCCCAGATAATAAACCACAATAATTCCTTCTTATACAACTTAGTAAGTGAATGAATTATGATTGTGGTCTGTGGCTTGCCATCATCCACATTTCATATTTAGAGCTCCAAATATCTTGGAGATGTAAAGGACCCTCTTCTTCCATTGAAACATGTCTGAATTTTAGTATTATCATTACAGTTCTTTCTCCAAGTCTCCATACCTTCTTGAATTACTGAACTAACTGATGACTGGGAGATGTCTTTTTCTTTACGGTATCTTATACTCAGAAAAACCTGTTTGGTATCAAATATTATGTCTTCTTAATACCCAATGAAAGATATATTTTTACTTGCTTGTGTTCCTAGTATAAGCTGTTTTTAACTAATGCTTTCAGATGGTCTGAAGGCAATACTGGCACAAGTAACTTATATCCACACACACAAAATGGCTATAAACTGAGAAAGGATCTCAAAACAGCCCTACTGAACTTTGAAGAGATGCTGTTGTGTTAATACTTTAAGACATATGGATTTCAAATTTCCAGAATTTCTCAGCCAGCCATGCTGGTTGGGGAATTCTGGGAGTTGAAGTCTACATGCTTTAGTTGCCAATTTTGGGAAGCCCTGCTTTAAGCTATGGATTTGAAGGAGCACTTTCCGCTAGCTCTAATAGCTTTTGCGCAGTCCTTCTTGTTATCACTTTTTATTTTTATATATATAAGTGTCTTAAATTGCAAAACAAGACCATAACGTTTCAAAGATACAGACAATACCTATAATAATTTAGAATTCCAGGACAGATATAGTGATCCATGACATTTTGCATTGACAATTCAATTTCAGGTTCCTGATTCATAATCTTTTTTGAGAAGAATGAGCTTAAGCTTCTATTAAGAGATTGGTTGTTATAACTTTATTGAAATTTCAGTAGAATGAAAACAAGGACACACATTAAAAGTCTTTAGGCAACCAACATTGTCAATTAGTATACATGCAAGATTAGCCATACCCGGACTTTGCTGATTGGATATCTGAAGCATTTGTTGTCCCCAGCTTCACTGAGTGTTATGGCATAAAACTGCCCTTTGTTTAAGTAAGTCATTGGTCCTTCTCCTTGTTTTTGGCGGAGGGATTTGGTAGCTTCCAAAGTATATCGAAATGTGTTACTATGAAGAAAATAAGAATAAACTTAGAAAATACATTACTGAGGGAGAGTTGAATAAAGGCCTTAGAATTTTAAATTCATGCCTTAGATTGATGCCATAATTCATATAAATATGAAAGATTGCTACCTTTTTAATATTGTTCTTAGAACGATAGTTCGGTTATTGTTATAGAACTCCACTACACTAAACTAATGTTATTTATCTTAATAATGACACTTCAGTAACAACATTAAGCTACGTCATGTAAAAGGCCACACTTGAAAATCCAATCCAAGTCAATGGCAACTATTGGAGACTTAGACATGATCAGCACCTAAATATACATATACCCGATCCAGAGACAGTATTGAAATTCATATAAAGCTCCTTCTTTATAGTATGTTTAGCTCACATAAAAGCAAAACTTGCTTTTGTAAAAGAAACAGCTTTCTCAAATCAAACTATACAGCATAGTCGATTTATAGCACAGTCAGAAAGGATTTGTGTTTTACATGAAACTGAACAGAGGAGCCAATCCAGATTGGCAGTGCAACATAATATGAAATGGGATTCCCTGTATAATACAACAGCAAACAAGACTGTGAACTAACTTACTCTATTAATTTGTCTCATCCCTCACCTACACATTGGTCAACTGGATTGGTTAAGATTTTTAAAAAGCTAGCACAATAGATAGAATCAAAACCTTCCATTTACAACTTTCACAAACTCAGTAGTTATAAAAGATAAAAATTTTACAATTGAAAAAAATACAAAGAAATTATACATTTCACTAGAGGATCTTGGACTATTTGTTCCAGGAATAACAACATCAAGCACAGCTCTAAGCATATTGGATCCAGTTGGATTAATTGAAAAATATAGGAACTATGTAAAAATTAAGATTTTCACAATAGTCCCATAATGGCATCGCTGAGAGAATTTGCTGAACAAAACACATCATATCTCTTCTCATTCAGCTAAAATTTGCATTGAAATGTCACTTTAATTTCCAATCCTTCCAATAGCAACCCTACCCTGTGCTTGTTCATATCAAGTACAAGACCCATCTTTGTAGGCAGATCATGTGGTATATTAGCACTACCAGGTACCAGTACCACCAGATCCATTGTTTAGAAAGTACAGGTAGTCCTAGACTTACAACTGTTCAAAGTTACAACAGCACTGAAAAAAGTGACTTATGACCGTTTTTCACACTTACAACTGTTGTATCATCCCCATGGTCGCATGATCAAAATTCGGATGCTTGACAACTTACTCAGATTTATGATGGTTGCAGTGCCCTGGGGTCGTTTGATCAACCTTCTGACAAACAAAGTCAATGGGAAGCCAGATTCACTTAATCAACTGTGCTACTTAATTAACAGCTTCGGTGATTCATTTAACAACTGTGTCAAGAAAGGTCATAAAATGAGGCAAAATTCACTTAACAAACGTTTCACTTAGCAGCAGAAATGTTGGGCTCAATTATGGTCATAAGCCGAGGACTACCTATATGGGGATGTTGTTCTTAATTGTTAAATTTAAGAGCAGCTGCCCAGAACTAAGCAAACTTTTGAAACTACATCCAGACTCAGCAATATAGAGTCTCCTCACTTTATCAACCAGTAAAAATGTCATATGAAATACATGCTTGCAATCCAGTGATCCTTCCTAAGTGAATGTTATGTTTTATACTTAGTCTCAAATTCAGGACAGATTTAAATAAATATGGATATACTTTTTAGCAGGATTATATCGTATTCTGCCATTTCACTCAGCTTTCTTCTGGGTTTTAAATTCTTGAAGTGACTGGCGGGAGAGTGGATTACATCCTATTGTAATTCAAAGTATTTGGCTTTGAATGAAATCATTACCTTAGTTTTACAAAAGATTTACTCTGAGTGAAGACTAGATCTTGACTCTCCTTTTTGCAATATTCTTCCCCCAATGAGGAGGACTGCTCTCATTTTATCTTATGCATCTGTCTGCCTCTCTCACCCTCTCAAGCTCATATTGGTGAGGGGGGGGAAACCAAAATTCTGCTTCAGAGGCCCCTTGCTCTTCAATTCTTTTGCTGTCTGGTGAATCTTAGGTTTTAATGAAAAACAAAGTGAACCCAAGCCTTTCCTCCTTTTTATTACATCAATGATGTGATAAATACCACACCCCACTGTCTGCACTATGTGCTGCACCATTATTATGATTATGCAACCAGAATTCTAGCTTCCTGTTTTCAAGGATTTTTTAAAAATTCCTGTGTTTTATGGAAACATGTTTTCAAGTCACTATATCATTGACGGTGATCACATAAGAATGTTTCTGAACAGACAGAACTTTAAAGGAACAGCGGGAAAACACAATCAGAACAAAATTTAGCGTACTCTCTTTCACAAGTATTTTGTGATGTTAGAAGCTGAGACTGAAAAACTGTCAGTAGTTGAAAAAGTGCTATTCCAGGGCTAAAACTAGCAGGGTTCATTCTTATTTAATCACCAGTTCCTAGATAAAAACACACCTTTGGTTCTGCTAAGAAATTATTTGATCAAATGCTTTATCTTTGAAACCTAATTATACAAAATAGCCTATATTATATTAATAATGTTCTTCTCTTTTGCTTATTTAAGAAAGGTTCTTCTTTTGAAAAAAAAAGGAAAGGAGAAAGGATATTTTTTGCATTTTTAAAAAAGAAAATATGCTGAAAGTAATACAGATAATACTTGTGTAATGCATTCCTCCACATCTCTGTATTCATAAAGGAAAAAGTGAATTCCTTAAGGATCTGCACTCAAGATTGTGGATCAGGGCTTTTTAACATAGTTAAATCACTTATAATCTTGAGTGCTTATGACCCCAAATGTAAAACCCAAAGTGCTTGAGGATATATTCCAAATGGGAAATGTGTTTTGATCCAAATAACTGCAATATAATGCACATTTGAGAAAAAGAATCCTACCTTCACATATATGCAGATGAGCTCAATTCATCTTGAGATTCTGACAGGTAATTTAATGAAAATGTCAATACAATGTGAGACAACTATGAAGGTGAATTCCATACAATGAGTCATTAGGAAAGGGATGAAAAACAAAACCAACAATATTGTCATGTCTTTCTAAATATATCTTGTGGATACATTTATGATATTGGACAAACCTCAATTGCTGCTTCTCAAAAAATTAATATAATACTGGAAAAGGCTGTACACAAAATGAAGTTTAGAGCTGCAGTTTTTTTCAATTAGAAAAATATAATGATAGAGATGGTAGAGATTTTGAAATGTATGCATGTCGTGAAGAATGTGAATAGTGAATGCCTTTCCCTCTCTCATAACAATATAAATTGGATTTAACCTAGATTTATCCAATGAAGATGAATGATAGAAGATTCTGGAGAGCTTAAAGCAGTCTTTCTTAATCTTTTTACCCTGTTGGAAACCTTGAAATAACTTTCAGGTCTCAGAGAACCCCTGCATAAAAATGCTAAAAAAAACATGAAAATTCACAGTACAATTCACTTCTGGTCCATACAATCCATGTTTTCAACAACCTCAAAGGGGCCTTGAATCCAGCTGTGCAGGAATCCAAATTGGGGTACTTATAACTGAATGCTTTTTAGTCTACATCAATGAAAATACAGTTTCTAAATCACAGGAAATCATTGTTCCATATTACTCTGTTCAAGTATTTTATTCAATTCATCACATTTGAAGAAAGATTCAGATCATCTTGAACAGGTTTGGAGAAGGGCATCACAAATAATTAAAGGACTGAAAATTAAGTGATAGGGAAAGAAACCAAGGGTGGTATGAATGGTTAGCCGAAACTGAAGGAAATAATCAGTGCTTTTTTTATAAAACAAAAAAAAATGTGCCGGAACTCACACACGTCATACAACCCGCCTTGCCTACCCTACAAGGTTCCATCCAAAAAAGGTGCTGGAACTCTGTTCTGGGCGTTCTATGACAAAAAAAAGCCCTGGAAATAATACTTTTCAAATGTCTGAAGAGCTATCACCCAAAAGAAAGTAAAGAGTTATAATTTATCATTCTAGAGGGCAGATTACTGAATTCAATTTTCAGAAGGGCAGATATTGTCTGATTGCTTGGGAAAATGTAAGCGGAACCAATTGCTAGGGGAAACAATAAGTACCCGTTCATTAGATAAGTAGCATTCAAATGAAGTTACTCAGCATCTGCCAAGGATGATTTACCACTCCAGGCTGTGCTGGAGATGCCATGGAAATCTGGAACTGGTGACTGGACAGAACAAACCAAGCTCAGTTTAAATCTTATCAAGTTACTATTTGTCAGTAAATAACTGGGTAATACAAAAATATCAGTCCTAGTAGTTATTGTTTACAGGATTGTGCTTCCTTTTCAAGAAGTGGTGGGGTTCCTCCTAGATTCTTGAGTCCTGATTAAGTAGCCAGTGGAAGCTTTGGCTATGGAGCCTTCATCTAGATTTGAATAATGTACCAGTTATGACCCTGCTTGGATCAGATGCTCGGAAGATAGTTAACCTTCATCCAGATCACTGGACTGCACTTTGTGTGAATCTGCCTTTGCAGATGATACAAAATGTAGTATCTAGACTGCTAGTAGGAGCAATCATTGCAGGATCTCACCAATTTTAAGGTACTAGCTACCAATAGCTATTTGGACTCAATTCAAAGACCTAGTTATCACCTACAGAACCCTATTCCACCTTTGCCCTTTTAGCATAAAGATCTAGTGAAGCCTTGCTCAGAGGCTGAATGGCACAGAAAGCATAGGCTAGATGCCAGACATTTTCATTTTAGCGTCAGTAACTACAAAATTTCCTGTGAAGCACTTTCGGCTTGTATGTGAATCCAGCAACTATGTGGATAGAACTGATCCTTACCATTTTGTTTCCAGATGGAGTGACAGTGTTGGTGCAAGATAACACATTGAATTTATATATTACAGTAAAATGAAGAATTCACTCTCACAACCATAGATACTCCCTTTGGCCATGCAAAATGATGTGCAGAAGAAATTTGCTATGAGGCCCAAATTGCATGTATAAAATGCACCTCTACCCAGTCTCATTATAAGATATATTTCTTCTTCTGAATTTCATTTAGATAGGAGAAAAAAACAGAGGCTGTGTATGCTGAATGCAAGTTAACAAATTCTTCTTAATAATAAATGGCCAAGCAAAATTAGTGTTGCAGGATCCAATCTGGGTCGGTCACCAGGACCAGAGCCTGGCCAGAGAGAAATTCCCTGAAGATGGGCTCCAGCATGGGTTCGAACGCTCGGAAGACAGAACCTCTGGTCCTGGTGACTGACCCAGATTGGATTCAGCAGCATTAGTGTCCTCCATGCAACTTTATGGCCTTACGCCAATCAAAAGCCTAGTGTACACCTTCAGTATTTTCTCATTGCCAATACTTACTTGGCTGTTTGTTCATAAATATATTCCTCAGGACCTGTAGAACTACTGCGAAATTTCTGAAAGATAGAGAAATAAAATATATATCAAGAATAGTTGAGCAGAAAGTCACAACTAACTTAAGCTTTACTGATTTCAACATGACAGGGTCCGATCCAATAGATCTAAAGACAAAATCTTTTCTAAAATGCTCGTTATGAGCTACAAAATATCAAGCTAACTTTAAAAGAGGCAAGAAGTGTAGTTTTATAAACACCTGTATTCAAGATTCTTTGAAACTCAAAAGTATTTTGAATAATTTAAAAAAAACCCTCTCAAATGGACTATTGCAATGCACTCTACATGGGGCTGCCCTTGAAGAGCCTCCAGAAGTTATGCCTGGCATGGAATATGGAAGCACAGCCAATTATGTGCACTCCTTGACCAGTGCATGTTACATCTTTGTTCCTTGAGCTGCATTGGGATTCAATTTACACTGCTGGCTGTAATATGCACTTCATGGCATGAAATCAAGTTATTTGGAGGACCATCTCTATCTGATTATGTCTACCCATCCCATTAGCTCTGGCAAAAAAGGCATGCTCTAGGTTCCATCTGCTAAGAAATGTCATCTGGCAGAACCAGGAAGAGAGCATTTTTATAGAAGCACCCGCCCTTCAGAATATCATTTCCCCAGGAGAGAAAGGTGAGATTGAGCTCATTGCATGATTGTGTTCCATCACTATAGTTTTCTAGGTGTTGGATAAATAATTTCTATCAGCTCTTTTATATCGGGCTCCCAACGTATTCTTCCTTTAGAAGCTTTTTTTGCAAGAGTTCACACAACCTATTTCAATCTTAGCATTTATTCCAGGATTACTCTTCAAATCCCATAATAATGGATCATTTCATTGTTTACACTTTGAATAAATGTCCCAAAAGAAAAAAAAAGTCAAAAGGGAAGTATTCTGACAATGTTATATCTCCATTATTGCACACAAGAATCACCCAAAACATTTTCAGACATATGTACAAAAAAGATTCTTACGACACTAAATCTCAACTATTTTAAAAAAGTGTACAATCTATATTTCATTAAGCCTTCCAGGGCAACTTACAAATACAAAGCAGCATACAAAATTCAAAACAGTCTACATTAAAACAAGTTAAAATAATAAATTCAAATGCTAAGAGAATCAAAATTCAAACGGACTAAGCTAATAGATTAGAAAATGTGATAGAACAAAATTTTATATATATATATCTCTCTGCTATTTGAAAGAATAAGAATGTTAGCACCGGGTGCAGAGATAATCCTGCAAACTTATAACAGCATTGAGAGACTCTCTAGTCATCCTCTGCCTTAGGAGATGGGCACTTGGAAGACTTCCTCCAAAGATGGAATTTATCCCATTTGGCAACTCAGGAATATCCATGAAATATTATGCAAGCATTATTTCAGACGTTATTTCTCAATTATGTCTAAATCACTGACTTAATGGGGTGATAAAGTGAATGAGAAAAATAAAAAACATGTGAACAATGAATGAACATCATACTTTCTGCTCCCACATTGCCCAAAGTAATAGACATACCTCTGCTCCTCCATCTTTAAAGGTATCACTGTAAGTACTGTCTGGAGTGCTGCGCTGATCATCTTTCATATAGGTTGAATGGGGTGTGATGCTAGGCACTTCATAATGCGCATGTTCAAATATGACTCCCCGATGTTCTTCATTTTCTCCCCTGGCATAATGCACTGAAGGAGTCATGTAAACTGGGGTATATTCTTCTGCTTTCACTACCATTACTCCAGTCACAGAAATGGAGGATGGGCTTCCTGATACATTTGAACTGAACTGCTCCCTTTTGGAAGTGTCCAGCTGCTCTTGGTTCACAGAGAGATTTACTGGCACTGTTTTCAAGACCTGTACTCTATTCTCACCATTGCTGCTCAAGTTACTTTGTGTTTCACTGGTGGAAAGACAGTTTCTGAGGGGGGAAAAAATACAGTGAGTAAAAGCAAATTTTGAGAGGTGACAAATAGATTAAATGCATGCAAATAAATAATCAAATCATTTATTTAATTAAATGTCAGCATGGTGTTGATATTTGTGTTGGACTAGAACGGAACCCTACATTTGAATTTGCCTTGAGTCATGAAATTCACTAGTAAGTGGAAGGAGAGAATTATGAGTGCCAAATTTGACTTCCTTCAAAGAAAGGTGAACTATAAACAATATTTCAGTCTGCTGTCCTGATGTTTATAATGCTTTGGATTAATATTGCAAACAATCCTAAAACATATTTATGAAGGGCAGTATAGAAATAACAATAAATCATCTTAATGAAACAGTGCTATGGATAGCCTGCCCATTGTCTATCAGTCCACCATGGAATGCTGCTGTTGCTTTTGCTGTGAAACAAACAGCCAGGAGTGTTCCTTCTAGAACATGGACCTCACTATGAAAAAAAGAGAGCTTCTCAGAACAAGATGCAGTTAAAACTTTTTAATAATATTAAGCAGTATTTAACATTTAAGAAAATGTTTAACAGGATAACAGAATTGGAAGGGACCTTGAAGGTCTTCTAGTAGTCCAACCTCCTGCTCAGGCAGGAAACCCTATACCATCTCAGACAAGTGGCTGTCCAATCTCTTCTTAAAAACCTCCAGAGTTTACAATACTTAGGTTATCTTCTATAATCCCAACTTGATTTTTTTTTTAACTTGGCTAATTTTATCTTTATAGTTAAACAAAATCTCCCCTCACACATATACACAGAAAGAGAGATGCAGATTTAGAGACATTGTACCTTTTCTCCTGGTCTTCTTGATTATCACTCACTTTGTTAACAGGCAATAATCTTCTATCTCTTGGAACCTGAAACATCAGGACATACGACTTTTGAATGTTGTTATTTATTTAAAGGATATTAAGGGCTCCTTAATGATAGTGAAGGAAACTAGTTAGGATTGATGACCAGATCTAAAACTTCATATCAGTTTTATTTGGTCTTTGGTAGTCTATGGATCTCATCAAAGCAGACTACAGCTTCAGGGGCAGATTACAGCTGGTTCTAAAATATATCCCTTGGTTAATTATTTATTTATTTATTTATTTATTTATTTTCAGGACTTATGGCCATGTATAATGACTCCAGGTGGCTCATAACAATTGATAAAAAACATAGTTTAAAAAAGTACCCTTGTCCTTTAGGTGTCAGACCAATTATCCTCACATCAACCTCTTGGACTGAGTCTGGAAATGCAACAGGAGCCAGATTTATTTAAATGCAACAGATTTACCTGCTGTAAAAACCCACTTTCAGCCGTTGACTTCCTACCTTATAATAGTCATATAATAATCCCAGAGCAGCAGCACTGTCCTCATCTCCGTTGATGCTCATCATAGCTTTAGTAGCTGCTGTTAAGGGGTTTTCCAGATAAGACTTCCAAGCCTCATCTTCACTTGTGTAAGCTCTTCTGGTATTAAAAGGAGCATCGCTTGGCACTATAGTCACAAGCCGGTTTTTACTGTGGTTTAAAAATACAGAAAAAGCATGCTATCATATCCGGAATACTTTTCTTTACCAATAGCTCATTTTAATCCTAAACAGGATGGGAGATGAAAAACTAATCTAATAATTTTTTTTAAAAAAACATATGATGCAACAATTTAAAAAAAATGATTGGTACGCTCAGTTATCCCACTGAAAAACAGATGCAAACAATGAACAAAACTGATCGTCTCTGTATTTCATAACTGGAAACAGGGACAAGGTTCTTTACAGAACTGACATTCAAGTCTTTCCAATGTGCATATTTCATTATAGCTTTGTATAGAAATTCCTCTTCATAACTTAATACTGCATTTTCAATGAGAACCATTTTGTATAATAATGACTAGGGCAGTATTGCCAATGTAGCACCCTCCAGATATCACAGTTTGCAACATTTGTCATGATGATGATGGTACCATCAAACACCACTGGTGAAGATGAGGTGGGCAAAAACGGGGCTACAGCATTGGCTTAGAATCAGAAATGATGGGATCTGGTTTCTATTTTGTTAAAACTTTCACAGGGTTATCTTGGGCCAGAATAACAGACTGGGGATTACAATCTCTCTGGTCTTTCTTGTCCAAAACAAAATTTTGTACCTGGCTTTTAGGCAAGTCAAAGCCTCTCAGAATTATTTCATACAGTGATATCAAGTGCAAAATGAGGGCAACAACGTATTTATTCCTTGAAGGAAGAGAGAAATATAAAAAAAGCAGGAGCTTTTCTTTCATGTAATTACTTTTGGCCACTTGTAATAGGGAAGAACATCTTAGGTTAAGAAATCACTGGAAATTATGAAAAATCAAAGAATCTGACTATAGAAGTAGTCCGTAATGTATTCAAAAACCATAAATGGCAGCTTGTTAATAGAACTGGGCCCATACCTTAAATTGTTTGCAAAAGATTCCAATAAATAATAATAATTCAACTTATATACTACATGGTCACTCTTGACCAAAATCCTGATCATTTTTTTAAAAATAGAATATTCCTCTAAACTATTTATTTGGCTTGCTATCCTCTCACTTTCCCAAGCAAAGCTTAATATTTGTTACATGCAACTAAGATACTGTGATGACTGGCAGAGTTGTCCAGCTGTCCCAGTCAAAAAACTGATTTTACTAATAAAATTACAGAACACCCATAACTCTGGAAATCAAGTAAAAGGTGGTTTACTATTTGTAACTATTGACTAAGTTTGATCATGCATTCAATTGCAACATCAGACTTTAAAAAAAAAAAAGTATTGAAATTGTGCAAAATTAAGCACATGACGAGTTCTGTGTTTGAGATTGCCTTTGGGAAAATGTTGGCCAGCAGGTCCATTTCAAAGGCAGCATCTTCCTCCAATCAACTCCCTGCCCAGCGCTATCTACAATACTATAATAATCTACAATAATAGTGATTACACAGTAGCAATGGGCTGCAGGCTCCATTTTTATTCCCTACAATGCCTAAAATGTGCCAGTGCTCCTAAAAATGAAGATAGCAGCTCCTCCCTCAATGCTTAGTCTGGAAGTCTGAGGTTTTTTGTTTTTTTTAAGGGAGGTGAGATCTATCAGATGTCAGAAGTCGAGTCATAATAATTGCCCAAACATGTTGAGTTATTGACACAAGACATGGAAAAATGTTGAGAAATACCAGGCTATATCAAGAAGTCAGAACTTGTAGGTAGGCACTGAATCAATTACACAATAGCTTTACCATTATCAAATACTAGAACTTAAAATATTTTAACAAGCAGTTTATATATACTGTATTACCTCCGTCCTTGAGCTTTTAACTAGGTATATCCCAAGATAAACTATCCATACTGAATTAGCATGTAGTTTTAAAATGTTTTTAAAGTTTCTTTATTCAGGGCACTGCTTGACAAATTATCAGAAAATAATAATAATAATAATAATAATAATAATAATAATAATAATAATAGTAGTAGTAGTAGTAGTAATAATAATAATAATAATAATAACAACAACAACAACAACAACAACAAAGTTGGAAGGGACCTTGGGGGTCATCTAGTCCAACCCCCTGCTCAGGCAGGAAACCCTATACCATTTCAGACAAATGGCTGTCCAGTCTCTTCTTTAAAACTTCCAGTGTTGGAGCATTCACAGCTTCTGGAGGCAGGTTGTTCCACTGATTAATTGTTCTAACTGTCAGAAAATTTCTCCTTAGTTCTAGGTTGCTTCTCTCTTTGGTTAGTTCCCATCCATTGCTTCTTGTCCTGCCTTCAGGTGCTTTGGAGAATAGCTTGACTCTTCTTTGTGGCAGCCCCTGAGATATTGGAACACTGCTATCATGTCACCCCTCATCCTTCTCTTCATTAGACTAGACATACCCAATTCCAGCAACTGTTCCTTATATGTTTTAGCCTCCAGTCCCCTGATAACTAATGATAACTAACCTATGCACATCCTTAGGAATATAAGAAATTGCTCTGACATCAGAATCCAACTTATTGTTTATGAAACCCAATATTATCTGTGATAAGCAATGGATCTCACTAGCTATTGGACTTTTTTTAAACAGAAGATGCCAAATATTGAACATGTCTGCTCAAAATCAGAAATGTTCAATCTTTTTGAGGCCATGAGTTGTCTTTAATCATTGAATAAAGTGCCATGAATTTTCTAACAAAAATACTAGGAGTGGCACAAAATCTAAATTAAATTTACATTAAATTAAGATGGTTAAAACAATTATTTCCCATCAATTTCATAATTTTCTCCAATGTCCTAATCATTATTACTTGGTAATAGTTTTTGAAGGAGCTCTAGCTATGTACCTAAATTTCAAGGACAAATTCTACACCCATATTCTCCATGCAAAGCTTTTTATATGGCCAACAAATATCAAACAAATAACATTAATATTGTTGATTCAACATAGTTCCGTTCCATGTTTAAATATCTTCCTACCAGGAATTAATTGGTTAAAAATGGGAAATTAAATCAAATATCATTTTTTTGTATTAGAACACTACAAATATCTGCTTTCATTTATATCACAAGAAAGTAATCCAAGTGTATGAGGAATGTACTGTATGCAGCCCCCAAACGTCTAAAATCAAACACCTACTTTCTCACCAGTTGACCCAGGAAACACTTAAAACCCATACATGGATTTTAAAAAAGCAATTTCCCCAGCAAAACCAGGAAAAAAGAATCCCAAAGAAATCCTGAGGTCACCCGTATTTTTGCCAGAGCTCCATTAATCCATTAGCCAAAGGCACTTTTTCAAAAGACAATCAGACTTTCTTCATTTTTCCTTGAAGATGTTTTTCTTCTCAGAAAAGAAGCTTCTTGTATGAAAGTCCAGTTGCATTTTGAAAAAACACCCTTGGGACAACTATGACAGGATGTCTGAGAATCTCCATAGATATTAATCCACTACTTTTGCCATCTTTTCTCACCCTCCCCCAAGGATGCCCTAGAGCAGGGCTTTTCAACCTTTTCATCCATTGTACCACTTTTAGGATATGGCAATATCCGAGTACCACCAGTCGCCTAGCAAGGTGTCAAAAACTTGACCCCCCCCAAAAGGGAAAAAGTGATAAAGTGCTACCTGCAAGTCCTCGACTTACAACAGTTTGATTAATGACTGTTCAAAGTTATAATAGCACTGAAAAAAGTGCACCCCAAGCCAGAGCCAAGCAAGACACCTGCCTGCCCACCCAGCGGCCCTCTTCCTCCTGTCCGAGGTTTTCATTGTTGTGAGCATTTCTGTTGAGGATTGGTAGCAGAGGTGGGGGGGGTTGGTTTTTATTCCACCCGTCTGCTGGGTGGTTGCAGCAGATTTTGGTCACTTCACATGACCCTGGGACACTATGACCGTCATAAATATGAATCAGTTGCCAAGCATATGAATGTAAATCACAAGACCCTGGAGATGCTGCAACATTCCAGCTGATCAGTGCTTCTTCTGGGCTCACAAGAAGCGCCAGGATCAGCGCCGAGCTCCAGCTGGAGCCTGGCACTGATCCTGGTGCTTCCACTGAGCCCTGACAGCCCTGAAGAAGCGCCGATCAGCTGGAAAGCGGCACTGATCCTGGTGCTTCTGCTGAGCCCTGATAGCCCTGCAGCTCCAGCCATCTCTCGTTCAGGCTTGTGCGGTGCTGACACCGGTTCAGCTCATTCCCCTCCCCACTACCACTTTTCTAGGATGGTCGCGTACCACCTGCCAGGTGCCAATGTACCACAGGTGGTACCCGTACCACTGATTGAAAAGCCCTGCTCTAGAGCTGCCAAACAGTGCTCCACTCCACTCCAGATTTACATCAGTTACAAAGATTATACAGCTCAATTTGAGGGATATAGATCTTGGGTTATCAGAATAGGGACAGTCAGTTGTTAGTATTTAGTATTGCAAGAAACACACTAAATGGCATAGCAGCTTCCCGTAGAAAGCAATAGCTCCTTGCATTTGTTTGGATATTTTTCCCTATTACTACTGCATTATACCAAATATAAAAGGGCCACCCTGGATTATTTGAAAGGAAAATTCATTGCTGCTTATCTGAACACTTGGCTGAAATAATTTTTACAGGTGCCATTTTCAAAGAATGAATGGCAGAAGGAATATGAGGGAGGAAGATAAGGCCTGGGAGGCGATGATAAAAATATGGGGGAGAACCTAATGATTATATTTTAAATAGAACTCTTGAACTGCAAGTTTCAATTTCTCTGCCAAATGCAGAAAATGTTATTTGTCTTCTCTTTCACCTTCAAGCAGAGTTTGCTTGCTCTACAGTGTGTTTGGGGGAGGGGGGGATCTTCATCTAGTTATCTTGATGTAGCTAACCTCAACCTAACCCTGACCTTCCCCCAAGGCAAGGCTTCACTGCCTTTGATGAAGCCAGCTAATTGAGAATGACCCAGAAGGTAGATACAATCTATACATTAAGCAACCTTGAAGCAGTCAAAGTCAGATGCAGCACAAAAGACAGGAGTAATTTCTTGGGGGCAATAC